ACTACCGTTCCAAAAATTTGACCAAAGCGAACCAAAAAGGAATGAATTATGAAAGTAGAGAGGGATAGTAAAGGTGTGGGAGGTGAAGTCAGGAAAGCCAATTGATACAGTATTTTCTTTTCGATCCTTAAGTAACAAGCTGTGTTCATCTTCAAATTTTTTTAGGGTGGCACATCGATCGAGCCAAAGAGTTTTGATTTTTTCATGAGTAAAGTGATATGTTGAGGAAAGTAAACTACAGACGAGTATCTTATTATTTACTATGTCCTAGACTTCAACTTCGCTATAAGTATGGTTAAAATAAATTTTTAGATTTATCAGAAATTTTGCCAATGAGCTTTCAATTTATCAGTTTTTTTAAAAAATTATCAGAAAAAATTTCTGATCATATAAAAATTTTTCAGTTATTAAAAAAAAATAAAAAAAAAATGATTTTGTATTTAACTAAACATTATTATTATATTTATTTATTTAATTCTTCTTTTACAATTTTGATACCAAATTTGTAATACGCTATCAAAATTAAAATCTAATAAATTTACATCATATAACCTAATTGTTATTAACATATGTAATATATTATTAAGCTGATTACAAATATCAGTCTTAATTAAATTTTGTTTAGAAAATCCTCTTTCACAATCTATACTAGAAAATAGTATAGAATAAAATATACTAATTAAAATAAGAATATTAGGATACATATCAGAATAATATTGAAATAATAGTAAAAGAAAATTATCAGTAGAAAGTTTTTCATAATTTGCTAGGACTATAGCTTTAAAATTATTCCATTCATTACGAATATTATCAGCATCAATAATTGGCATTGAGTAATTAGGCTTTTTAGCTATTCTATAAATATTAATTAACTTTTCTAATTCTTCTTCACCATAATTAACTAAACTTTCTTTATTCTTTGGCTATTCTATTAGATTCATTATTTTCATGACAGATAAAATTGATCTATGTAGAAATCTATCATTAATTTCACAAATGACAGCTGCTGCAAATTCCATAATTTCTAGTTGTAAATTAATTTCATTCTTAGATTTAAATAAAATATGGTAATCTCTAATAAAAGAATCTTCTGCTGTGGTATTTTTAATAAAAAATCATTTAGATGTGCACTTAACTTTAGATTTTCATAATCATCAATATTTAAATATTCATGTTATATTTTTTGAATTGTAGAATTAATTATAGGATCAATATCAGAAAACATAATATATCTTTATTGAAACATCTTATTAAGTTCTATTAAATGATCTAAAATATTATATAAAAAGTATAAAAAAGCCAAAACTTTTCAATTATAGATTGGCTGCCTCTTTTTTTTTAATTTTTCTATTTTTTTCTTTTTAGAATATAAATCAAATATTGATTGTTGTCTTGAAAAGAAGTTGTTATTGCTATTTCAAGAAATGTATCCAGTAATGGTTTGATAAATATACATATACTTTTAACTGCTTTATACTAAGATAACCATCTAATCTCAAAGATATTCTTTATTTTTAAAATTGGATGATCCAATACTGACTAGAATTGCCTTAAAATATCAACTCTTTTTTTAGCATTACTAAAGAAATTATATGTTTCTTTAATTAAGGTATTGATATATTTACAAAAAGCCATTTTCTTTGAGCTGAATTATAAACTAACGCTAATCTATGTGCAATGCAATAATTTACAAATAAATAAGGATTTTTATTTGTAAGTTTAGTTGCCACACTATTATTTTTATTAAGCATTACAATAACACTATCTGATAAAAAAGACATAATATTTTTTTCTAATCCTAAATTAATAAAGTAATAAATTAAATTAATTTAATTAATAAAAATTAAAATTTTAATAAATTAATGGTAAATTCTTACCTTTCAATTCAAATAAAGTAAATATAACTAGAAAATAGTTTCAGCATTTTACCATTTAAATGTAATAGTTTTACATATCTGACTTTAATAAAATCTCTTAAATAATATTTAATATAAAGAATTATATGTGATTCTGTACTAATATCTGTATTTTCATCTATTATAATACTAATACTTGTAGTTTTATAAGTTTATTTCACAATTGATAAAGATATTGCTGATAATAAATCCTTTGCAGATATAGGATTTTTGTATATTATAAAATTTAAGTTAAAAATTAAGTTAGAACTTTCAAGTGACAATCAAATTATACTAATTGAGAAAATTGATAGAGTGAAAGATTGTTTTTCATCATAAAATAAATGATTTTCATTAAGCTTTCTATATGCTTATTTGCATAATTTACTGTATTTGAAGTAGCTTTAATCATTAAAAGTCTAGCCTTTTCTTTTTTTAAAGCTTCTTTATGACTATTACTATTAACATAATCTTGAATTGCTGATTTTTTACTAATATTTTTTGAACCTAAATTCAAATTAATCAAATTATAAATTATTATTTAAAATCATTAAAAATTAATTTGTTAATAATAATAAATAATCAACCTTCTTTAGCAAAAGGAATATTAATATTATAAAATCTATATAATTTATAGTACATTTTTTTTTCTTCAGAATTATATTTTAACCATGAAAATTCTTTGAGCTATTTTTTTTGGAATCTCTTTTTATTAATTTTTACTTTTGTTTTTTTTTTAATATATGAAGATTTTTTTTTTTTCTGAGAAGGTAGAACTTCATTTACTTTTTCTGTAAAAGATAAATCTTCTTTACTTTCAGATAAAAATTTATCTTTAGTTGATTTATCTTTATTATCATTATTTTTATTAGTATTGATACTAATTGTTTTATAGTAACGAAGAATATTAGACATTTTTTACATTTTAAGGTAAAAAATAAAAAAATACATGTTTAGAATATTTACTGTATAGTCCTAAAAATAAGCATTACGTAATATATATGAATTTATCAGTATATACATGACTAATAATATAATAAATTCTATGTGACAAATAAATAAATTACTATAAAAGGAGTATGTCACAGGGTGCTTATTTTTAGGACTACACGGTATTCAGATTATCTGCATATTATAATTTACAAATAAATCATGATTTTTAAAATAAATTTACTTAAAATTATTATTGGCAAAAAAATGATTAATCTCAAAATTTTCAGCTATTTTTAAAATTTATCAGTTTTTTCCAATTTATACAGTTGTATTTTTAATTCTGGCTATAAGGTTATAGTGAAGATTTTAAGAGATTTGATTGGCTAATTTGCTATAACAAGAGTATTTTTATTATATTTGTTTAAAAAATTTGTTATATTAAAAGTTCGCTATATCAAGTGTTGACTGTATATATATAAAAATAAATAAATAAATAAAAATTAATTGATTAATTATTAAAGTTTTTAGATGTTAAAAAATAATTATATTATTATCTTCAATAATATCATTTTTCACATCAATTACATTATTAATATAACTATTTTTTACATCAATATTATCATTTTCATCACTAATATAATTATCTTTCACTTTTATGTTAGTAATATTATTTATACTACTAATATTAAAGTTTTCTGTTGAGTCTTCATTTTTTATTATTTCTTCAGAAGCATCAGAATCCCATAAAGTTGAAGTGATTGAAGTAATTTTCTCTTCAGCTATGTTTATAATATTTTTTTAATATTAATAAAATATATAAAATATAAAAAAAATATATATTAGGAGGTATATCACTTACTTGATAAAAGAAGATTGAAAATCTAAAATACTCTTAAGTCAAGTTGTATTACGTTTAAATATATATTTAGTATAATTAATAATATATGCAGATCTTTTACCATTTGTATTATATTCACTGCACGAAGTATACTATATATATCCAATTTAATCATTATTTTAAATTGATAAAAAAGTCTAGTCCAACTGGATTAAATAAAGCTCAATGTTATGAGAGTGGAAAAGGCTTTCAATACTTAGATATTAAAGCTATTTTGGAAATTTATTTTAAGAAATTATCAAGTATACAAAATATCAACATTTTCTTTTTGAAGTATTTAATCTTGTTATGATCAAAGCTCAGAAAATTGCTAATGGATCTTTTACTAAATTCAATTTATTAAAAACCAAAAAAACAAATATTTTTGAAGAGATTAAAGCTTTATCTATTTTAGTGTTAATACTATCTCCTTTGGATTACAAAAGGCAAGAATATCTTTACTAAAATATTCATCCATTTGTTAAAGGTGAGTTTAGAGACATTACTTGTATAAGACTATTCTATACTGGTAACAAATAAAATCATTAAGATTAATAAGTTTAATTTTTTAATAAATATGATTAGTTTTAGAGTAAAAAAGTACTAAAACAATTTATATACTTAATATGCCCTCATAAAAGGATATAAGTATATTAAAAAAAAAATAATAATAATAATACTAAAAAATGACAAACCAAAATAACATTTTAACTGAAAAGAAAATAAAAGAACTAATTGGTAATTTAAACTGAAATCCAAATGAAGCAGAGATAAGAGCAGTTATAAATTATTTTTGACTTTGTCCTTATGTATTAAAATACTTAGAAGACAAAGAATTTAGAAAAAGTTTTGTTCGCCTTATTTACATGCATAAAAATGCAATAGATTGATGAGCAGAAGCTGATAAAGAAGTTAAAAGATTACAGTCATTAACATCTAGTTTAAAAAAAAAAGAGAAATGAATTACTTGAAAAATTAAGGAATTAGAAGCAAGAGTAGAAGAGTTAGATGATGAAGTATAAATGGAGTAAGAAGAGGCTGAAAAGGCACTAAATAAAGCCATAGAATGAAAAAAATAACAAATGTTTGAAATTATATTGATGTATGATGCTGTAATGGGTAAACTTCAAGACTGAATAGATTTATTAGAAAATAATTTAGCTGCTAAAAATTAGAAGATAAACTGAAAAGATTATTTAATAACTAAAGAATTACCATTTTTACCAAAGAAATAAAAAGAAAATAGATTGTGCAAATTCAAAAAATTAGTAAATAAGGTAAAAGAAAAAACTAAAGAGAAGTTTCAGATTTTAATTGTTCAAAAGAATAAGTAAACCAATATGAGATTAGAATATAGAATTCTAAAAATAGCCTAGGGAGATGAACAAGAGTGTAACTTCTGTTTTCTAGATTTTGATGATCCAACTCTTCTTAATTTTGATACTGCTTCTACTACTCATCGAATGGTAGCTTATAATATTCCTGATGGTTATTCTGATATTGTCTTTATCTGTGGTGAATGTAAAATAGATTATGATAATAATACTCTTCCATAATGTGAGAAATGTGGTAAGCTAAAAAGAAATAGAAACAGATATTTTTATATTATTTAAAAGCTAAATTAACTAAACCATTTTCTAACAAAAGACTACTTTTATAAGCCTTCAATTTTTGCCTAGAAAATAAAACCAGAGAACTAAAAAAAGAGTTATCAATTATCAAAGAAGAATTAAAAATTGAAAAAAAAAAGTAGTCAAGTTTTAGGAAAAATCAAAAGAGTGAAGTAAAAAGTAAAAACAGGAGTTATTAGATAAGATAAAAAGTTTAAAAGAAAAAATTAATCATCTAGAAGAAGAAAACAGAAAATTAAAAGATTAACAAAATGGCCAAATTGCTTAAATTGAAATTAAAGAGACTAAAAGATGATCTTGATTGAAAATAAAAAAGTAATTGAGAAAATTTATTTTAACTATTAAAGAAATGGTATTTATTTTTCTTTTAAAGTTTTTTGCTTTTTATTAGGTAATAATATATCATCATGATGCTTTCTTTTTCTAACATTTATTATTTACTTTTTTCTTGATAAATTTCATAGGTAATTCTTTCTTTTCTTAGATAAGTTTCTAGTATCTAAGTATCATTTATTTTGAAAATGTAAGAAGCAATTTTTTCATCTTGTTCTTTTTTTAGAATACTTCTAATAGTACTGTAATTCTTGGATTCTATAGTAGATCTAATATAAATGAATTTCATATTAACTATTTTATATAAAGACAATTCTATATATCACTTAATAAATGGGAGTATTATAAATTAATTGTGATAATAATAACTAAATTTTGATCCCTGAAATCTTTGATAATATCAATGTTTACTATGTCTGGTTTTGTAACAGCATGTCTCATTTTATAAAATTACTTTATAAATAAAAATCTTCTAAAAAATAAAATTTATAATATATAAAAAAACTTTTATTTTAATCATTTATTTTAATTGGTATTTTATATTTCGATTATATAATATTAATATATTGTATTATATAATTAAAAATTATGTAATAAAATAAAATCATATAAATAAAAAAATTTTATAATTTTTTTTCATTTTACTATTATACTTAAAGATGTTTCTTATAATTATTTTTAAATTTCAATTGAATTGCAACTTAATTGTGCCATAAGAAAATTTAATTATATCACAAATTATAATTCAATTGCATCATTTTTTTTAATTATGGTGTCATCTTTAATTATATTCTTTTAAATTTAGTTTTTTTATAAAAATATTATTTATTTATTTTTGTTTTTAATATTCTTTAACTTCTATAAATATCTCCTTTATTTTAGTAACATTTTGAAAATTTTAAGGTAAGATTTTTATTATTTATTTTTATGTAAGTAGCTTTAATTATTAATTATTTTTCAATAAATTTTTTAGAAATAAATATAAAAAAATTAATATTGAAAATAAAGAAATTAATAAAATTGATTATGAAAAAGTTTAAAAAATTTTTTTTTCTAATAATCTTATAATTTATTACTATTTCTTTATAATGAAATATCTAAAAGTTACGAGAAACTTTGATTATATTTTTAAATAGCTTTCAAATTATATAACAGAATGATTTTGATTATTAGATCATATATATTTAGTTTTGTTAACTTATGAGTAAACAAATTAGCTTTATGTGAAGATTATAAGATTAAAAATGATGCTATAATTAGTTGTAACTATGTGATACTTATTAATCACCAGTATTAGCCTTTTGGACTAATGGACTTTTGGGCCATTGGACTACTGGATTTAGTCCATTTCAATTCCATTAAAATTTTGAACTCATTAAAATTTTGAACTTTTGACTATAGACTTTGTTTAACAGCTATAAATTTATATTTAATTTTAGCAATTATTATGTAAATCATTTTATTGATATTTATTAAAATTTTTTAAATAATTAGGTTCTTTAAACCTGAAAAATTCAGATCAGTCAGTAGAAATTATTCTAGTTAAAATAATTTTATTATTATTCAAAATTTTTAAATTAGACTAGCATTATAAATTTAGTCAGAATTATAGTATATAAAATTATAATTTGATCAAAATTATATAATCTGAGTCCATTTGAATTAGAATTGGATTAGACATCTCTATTAGGTCTAAAGTCCAATAGTCCATTATTAGAAATTAGACAAGGTCTAATTCTAATACTATTTGTCACTGATTGCAACTAGCTACAACTCAATTTTTATTAATGTTGCAACTAATTGCAATCTTGTGATGCTTATTTATCACCAGTTGCAATGTGTTGCAGTATTATCTTTATATAAGACAA